GGCAGAAATCCAACAGGTATTTCTTTCCTCCAACATGGTGATGAAGGGCTCTGAAGCAGTACACATTCATATTTCCATGAGAGGAAATCTGGAAAACAAGGTGACTATGAGGAGACTAGAAGTCCATGATATCTGCAAAACAATCTTCCAGCGTTAGATTTTCAACGTACTGTATTGATTTTCCCTCACTTTCAACTTCCTTCGATCTGTCTGAAAAAGTGGACTTGGCCATGAAGCCTCACATTAAAATATAGCTGTCTTTAAGCTGTCACAGGTTTTTGTCTTTTATTTCCAAAAGAAAATAATAATTATACATATATAATGCAGTATTGGGTATTGCCTGATAAAAAAACACACAGTCTTGATGACTCACACACAAAATAAGATGCCCTGCAGTTCATATAATTGTTTTGCTAGTTTTCGCTTATTCATAACTTGGTGCATATTTGTTTTCCAGAATGAGATGGAGGATAAGCAGTTGTTGACAACTTTCTGCGGGGGCTTGTGTGTGTAGGCGTCCTTCAGTCTCGAGAGACTATGGTAACGTGCTCTGAATGCCTTGGAACAACGTCTGGTGTGGCTGAGAAGGCTAATTCGAGAGTGACGATCCCTACCACAAATATGTCCAGCTCCCTGATTTTGCTGCTTTTGGGACTGCCTCTTTGCCTTGGCCTGCTGGACAAGGGTCTCTTCAAATTGGGAGACGCCACGATGCACCGCCTGCCTCCAGGCTGAACATAATTGAATTATTATTGGCAAAGTGCAATAACAATGCTAAATTCTTTTAGAAAGGGGGCAGTCATGTAGTAGAATTATCAGAAAGAATAATTCTGTGGTCAAAAAGGGGTTAGGTAAAGGTTCCCCTTGACATTTAGTCCAGTCGTGTCCAGCTCTAGGGGATGGTGCTCATCCCCGTCTCCAAGCCGAAGATCCAGCATTTTGTCCGTTGACAAGCTTCCGTGGTCACGTGGCCAGGGCGACTAGACACGGAACACTGTTACCTTCCCACATAAATAGGTGGTGGTACCTATTTATCTACTCACATTTTATGTGCTTTCAAACGGCTAGGTTGGCAGGAGCTGGGACAAGCGACAGGAGCTCACTCCGTCGCGTGGATTCAAACTGCTGGCCTTTTGACCTTGCAGCCGAGAGGCTTCGGCGGTTTCACCTGCAGCGCCACCACATCCTTACCATTATCTAAAATTTAAATTTATAGGCCAGAATCATATTGGATATTTTCCTGTTCATCACACAGGGGCATCTGGAAATCAAGTCCTGTAGAGAAAGACTGAAAGAATTGAGCATGTTTAGTCTTCAGAAAAGAAGACGGGAGATACGACAGCATTTTTCAAATACAGTCGTGCCCCACTTAACGATTACCCTGCATTACAATGAATCCGCTTTATGACAATGTTTTTGCGATCGCAAAACGATGGTCTAAATGGGGGAATTTCGCATAGCGATGATCGGTTCCCTGCTTCGGGAACCGATTTTCGCTTTAGGATGATCAAAAACAGCTGATCGTCGGGTTTTCAAAATAGCCACTGGGTGCTTTAAATGGCTCCCTGCTGTGCTTAGGGACGGATTCCTTGCTATACAGGCACCGAAAATGTCCGTCGTATGGAGGATATTTGCTGGACGGTGAGTTTTCAGCCCATTGGAACACGTTGAACGGTTTTCAACTCGTTTCAATGGGCTTTTTAATTTCGCTTTATGATGTTTTTGTTTAACAGCGATTTTCCTGGAACGGATTATCGTCGTTAAGCAAGGCACCACTGTACTTGAAAGGTAATCATACAGAGGAAGGGCAAGGATCTGTTTTCAGCCATCCCAGAGTTCAGGACATGTAATAATGGGTTCAAGCTATAGGAAGCCAGATTTAGGCTGAATCTCAGGAAAAACTTATTAACTGTTAGAGCAGTACAACGATAGAACCAATTGCCACGGAAGGTGATGAGCGCTTCAATGTTGGAGGCATTCAAGAGAAAACTGAACAATTGTCTGTCAGACCTGCTTTGATTTGTATTCTTGCATTGAGCATGGGGTTGGACTCGGTGGCTTTATAGGCCCCTTCTTACTCCATGGTTCTATGATTCTATCCATTTTCCTTTTTTGATTGGGGGAGCATAAACATTTCCTTTCTTAGAATGAGAGGTATACCACAAACTCTTCTTCTTCTTCTTCTTATGGGAGGCTGGCCACAGGGCACAGTGGGTGGGAGATAGCGCCCCCTGCCCCAGGTGCCAAAATCTTTAGTTATGACTGGCTCTTCACAGTGTCTGGCTGTAGTTGCACAAGGTGGACTTCACCCGGTTGGAAGCCATGGGGTTTCCACCTGCACAAGGGGAGCTGAGAACACCCTTCTAAGCAAATGACAGAAAAAGGACAAACCCATGC